CCCCCAGCCACTCCACCCCAAGGCCGTAGCTCTGCCAGGGGTTGATGTGACCCAAGGGCAGGATCCAAATCTTGGCCTTGTTGTACCTGACACATAGCCGGCCTCAGCCCATCAACCCAGCCTGTCCAGGTCCCTCTGTCGAGAACAAGGGGACACACCAAAGCCGGAGGCTGAGCACTGCTGTTCTTAAGCCTTTTTATACAGTGATGCTTTTGTGCCACTCGTTACTGTGGTCTCCAGTCAACGTAGTTACGGAAACCCATTCCCAACCATCTGCGCCGTGAACCCTCTGAAGGGGTGTACTGCACAGAACTGAAATGGTCAGGTGTCCCTGAAATACAGATATGTTCAGTATATAAACACACACACAAGGGAGATTCTTAATTCTCATTTGCCTAGTTCAAAAAACTCTGACAAGTAAGAGTTACACTGAACTAATCAAAGTTTTTGATTGATGGTGGATAACCGTTTACCCTGGGAAACTGAGAATTAAGTAAATGAACACTAAAACGTCATGGAATTTAGTATATTCAAAGACGTGAACCACATTTGTTACAGTATTACTTATACATCTGAAAAACTGGAAAACATCCTGCAATGTGACTTTACCAGCAGTCTCTTCAGACACTCTGGCAAGAAATCGAAGATGGCTGCCACGTCCTAGGTAGGCATTCGACAGAACTTCACTAAAAACAAATATGTGTAAAAAGTAACTAGACAAAATTACAAAGCACTGAAAAAAGATGGACGCTGCTGAAATTCCAATTTGAGAATGCAAATGTTACTTAAAATTTGCTATACTACAAGTTTCCTGATTTTTCTAGAACTGAACCAAATACTAGACTGACAAAAGACGAATCAATTTAATGTCTGTTGACGCTAAGCCTGTATTTATCCCGTAAGGAAGAATTCAATTCCTTTGCTCACTATTGCCAGAGAGTTCTTCAGCTCATTTCACATCCTGGGTATCAAGCCTGGGGTTATAAATATCTCAAATGGACCTACAACCCTCTCTCCATGACGGAAGTTTGCTTTCCTAACGGCTCGACACATTTGGCAGTTTTTACCTGAATCCTATTCGTGCTTCTCTTCTGAAACAAGCACAAACCAGACTACAATACTTAACATACTCTCGCCAGTCAAAATACTCAAGCCTGAACACGCACCTGCGTTTCCTTCCGCAAACCCGTGTGCTCAGGATTTCACCACCGGCGTTTGGGCAGGACCGAGGCCGTACCAGGGAGGCAAACTGCCGTGCCGTGGGCTGCACGTGGGCTCACACAGAACAGTCCTAAGCAATTTCTGTACTTTAATTCTCTTTTTTTTTTTTACCCAGCAGATTCTCTTCTAGGAGCTTGTAGCTCAAAATCCACAGTTTTTGCCGTAGTCTAATTCCTTCTCATCATGAAAATTGGTGAAGTATCACGAACCCAAAGTCAACTAAATACATTCACAGCAAACATACTCAATGTTTAAAAACTCAAGCCATGTTTCTGCATCATATACATAATTCAAACTTCAAATTCCTTCTATATTTATAATGAACCCAGAAAGCTGGGA